CCTTCAGCCTGGGGATGTGCAGCCACCAGAATGTTCTTTTCTTTTTCTTTTCTTTTTTTTTTTTTAAAGAATTATTTCTTCTTTCTTTTTTTCTTTCATTTGACCAGAGAGGGAGAGAGTAAGAGAGAGGGAAAGTGAGAAAGCAAGCCGCCAGGTCCAAGACTCGAACCGTGGTCGACCATGTGGGAGTCCAGTGCCCTTACCTATCACGCCACCTGCCGGCCTCCACCCAGAATGCTCTTTCTCCTGGGAAAGGGACCCTGGGGAGCGGGATTAGGGGTGGTGGCGTGGTGTGGCATTGACCAGCTCCATGGAAGTCTGTGTCTACTCGCCGTTGTGGGGTCCTCGGACCTGGGCAGTGTCCTCCCGCTGGCCCTGCAGCGAGCAGCGTCTGTGCTCCAGGCACCCCGAATTCAGGCCCTTTGGGTCCAGTTGTAAACGTACAGGGTATGTGTCAGGCAGGCGTGGGAGGGTGTACCGCCGCCAACGTCACTGTCACCAAGACAGCTGTGCACTCACAGATCCCAGCACGCCACGCTGGGCCACACAGGGAGCCCCCAGGATTGGCTGGGACCCGGAGGCAGCGAGGGAAGGAAGGGAAAGGCCCCTTACTGTGACCTCTGTAGAAAGGAAGGGGTGAGGCGGGGGCTGATGAGCAGGCCACACAGGATCAGGACTGGCTGGTGTGAAGCGTTTCCCGGGCTCCAGGGCATAGCTGTCTCCGGTCGCTGGTACCTGGTCTTGGGCCACTCAAGGCAGGGAGCCGTGGTGTGGAGCGAGAGGAGCGAGGGAGTGAGTCGTTCCCCATCTCGGGAATTAGCTGACCCTTCTCGCCGGCAAGGGCCCAGAGGCCAGAGCCTTAACAGGCCAGAAAGACCGTGGGCAGCAGAGTTCCCGCAGCCACCAGCTGGCTGCAGAGTTCGGATCACACTCTGGGAGACAGGTGGGATGGGCCATGGGCCCCAGACACTCCCCACTCGGGTGCAGTCGGGCATGGAGAAAACTCTCCAAACCAGAGAAGACAAAGAAGAAAATTATAATTCCCCCCAGGGTTAGTTCATTTTATTTATCTATTAAGTTGTCGAAAAGTCATGACGTACTTTTCTGTTTCCCTATGCAAAAATGTGTCATGACTTTTCCAGTGACCCAATATAAAACAATGTGTATATATGACATGTGTAAAATTATGCATATATGTATCACTTTGTGGGTGCTTACGTGTATATATGTGTGTATAAACATATGTATACGCGTATATGTTGGGTCGTCAGAAATGTCGCAAGGTATTTTTACATAGAAAAACAGAGACCTACGTCATGACTTTTCCGACCAACAATACATATGTGTGTTGCGTGTGTGCACCATGGATGGAGTGAAATACATGTGCCTGCCTTGACAAAGCCCAGACTTACTACTGCTCCAAACTGAGGAGCTGGACTGCCCAGCATCTCCCGGCGTCTGCAGCCCGCGTACAAGCCCCACTGCTTTCTCAGGCTGCGATCTGCCTTGCTCGGCCTCAGCTGTGGACCCTCGTGGTACACAGGCAGCGCCAGCACACTGAGGCTGGAAGCCACGTACAAGGCCTGGGTTCTGTTTCACGACTGACCTGACCACGGCTAGGCACAACTGCATGCACCTGTAACCCTGTAACTGGAAGACGGGGGCAGGAGGATCGCCATGCAGTGGGACTCTCAAAAACAGCCGTCTCCAGGCCAGCAGGTGGCGTGGTGGTTAAGGTGCTGGACTCCCACGTGGCTGACTGTGGCTCAAGTCCCAGACCTGGCGGCCTGCTTTCTCATCTCTCTCTCTTTCTCTCTCTCTCTCTCTAGTGAGCACATGTGTCCTATAGCAATTTTTTTTAAAAATAATAATAAAATTAAGTAAATAGTTCTTTTTAGAAAATGTTTATCTCTGTCTTTCTCCCTTACCCCTGTCTCTCCCTGTCTCTCTCTCAAAGGAAAAACAAAAGCTAGTAAAACAGGAATGTGTCTGAGTCCCCACTGGCAGGGTGGAATGTTCCACTCACTACTAGTGCCATCTCTCAGTGAGACCGAGGACCACCCACCTGAGTCACAAATGCCCCCACAAAGTGATCATAAGAATTCTGCCTGGTGAGGAGAGGCTGCCAGGAGTCCTTGCCCTGACTCTGACTGGTGGGTCTAGTCAGGGAGGGCTGCCTGGAGGAGGTGGGCAGCAAGGTAGGCTGTGATGCGGTTTGGCAGAGGCATAGGCATCACAGGCAGGGTGAGTGGTGTGACCAGGGAAGCTCATCCAACAGAGGTGCTGTCCCCAGCACTGGAAGGGCCACCCCACAGCTGCCGCACAGAGACAGGGCCCAACTGCCGTTCCAGGCCATTCTCCTGGGCCAGAAAACGGAAGCACCGGCTCACACAGTCCTGCCACTGCCTGCTTCCTGGACCGGACCTGGGGGCGGGCTTGCAGAGCTCACAGATTTCCCACGAAACCTCGGTGCGCGTCCTGCGGGCTCGATTGTTAGGTGGTGGCCTTAGGATGGGTGCACTCTCTGGAGAGAAGCAGTGAGAAGGACAGTGAGGAATCACCACCTGCTTGCCAGGGGAGAGCCATGCCATAGTCCCTTCTCCTCTTGGCACTTTGGGCACACACTCATACAGGCCAGGCGTGTTTTCCAAGCTGCGGAGTCGAACCGCGGAGTTGGCCACATGGGATCTAGTGCGTTACCCAGCCTGCTACCAACCAGCCCTGCCATGTTTTTAAAGGCACTGATCCCTCTGTTTTGTTTTAATGCTCGGCCTCTTGTTAACATTCTTATTCCTGCCATTTTCTCCGTCTTAGTTCCTAGATCCCCCTCTTCCTCTCCGCACAGTCAGGACCCCGTGAGAACTAGCATGGCTTAGGACGGTGCTCTCAGGAGGCCAGCGGGAGTGAAGGGGGGAAACGCTGGTGCGGGTGTGGAGCCGAGGGGTAAAAGGAGGGTGTGTGCGGAGAGTCAGGAGTACATGGGACTCCAACCTCAGACCCTGCCCAGCCAGGACGGACCCCGCAGAGCCCAGGCCTCGTTCTCGTGTGGGCCCGTGGGGTCTGCAGTCACAGTTACCCAGGAGCCTGCCACGGCCAGTGGGAGCGGGGAGCGGGCCCTGGGCGCTTGTTCCAAGTCCGGGACAGAGATCACCTTGGTCCCGGGTGACATGGGTTTGTGCTGCTGATCTCAGTGGCAGCAAAAGGTGGAGCCGTGGCCACCCTCCGAGGGCCGACGGGTCCCGTCTGCCCACCTCTGTTGAGCTCCGTGCTAGGCAGGCGATGGGCATCTTGCTCAGTCCCTTGGTGCGTGGGCAGCCGTGGAGGTGGCTACTGCCCTCTGGCCCAGCTAGGTGTGTGGTCTGACATCTGCCCTCCCAGGCGGCCAGCTCCGGGCCCCTGCGGAGACTGGGGGGCCTCGGGAAGAGGTGTCTGAGCTGCTCTGCCCTCCCGCAGCCCCTGTGCCCCAAGGAGCTCTGGCACTTTGTCCACCAGTGCTACGGGAACGAGCTGGGCCTGACCAGCGACGACGAGGACTACGTGCCCCCCGACGACGACTTCAACACTATGGGGTGCGTGAGGGTGCGGGCGGGCTGCCCAGGGCTCCTGGGGCCGAGGGGTGAGCTGTGGGGTCTCCTGAGCCAGGGGATCAGCCAGCAGACAAGGGGGCCTTTTGGCAGCATGGCAATGGGCTTTTCCTCGGCGTGGGATGGGGAGGCTTGGAGAAGGGGGACTGAGGAGGCCTGACTTGGCATTTTACCAGGACCTCTTTTACTTCTGTGTTCAAAATGCACTGACGGGGACGGGGACAGGAGCAGGGGGTCCATGAAGAGGCTATCGAATCATTTAGATCGTTTAGGTGACCGGTAGTGGGGGGTGTGCCAGGAGGGCAGCGGTAGAAATGGTGCTAAGCGCTTAGTCTCCGAGTTTATTTTGAAGGCTGCGCCGACGGTCAGAAAGGGACCACGTGTGTCTCTTACATCTCTCTTCTGGTTTCACCATCTGGAGGGGCAGGGCCAGGCTGAGCAGGTTTAGGGAAGAGGCCAGGAGGTCCGTCTTAGGCGGCTGGGGGTCGAGGTGCCTGGTAGCCACGTGGAGGTGAAGTGTACGCTGGGAACCAGCTGCTGGACTCGAACGGTCTGGACTGGTGGGCATGGTGGGAAATAGCTGC